AACTAAAAAAATTTTTTGTACACTCTCTTTGGAAATAATTTATGAATAAGGAAAATCGGTATTTGAAATGGTTTCAATAAAATTGGTATGATGTACTCGTGATTAATGAGATTGAGAGTGTGAAGAAATAGTGTAGTGAATGAAGGTGCACTCCATATTGTGAATATAATGTTCCAGATGAAGTAAGGTAAAAACAATGGATGAGTTATTGTCATTTTATTCCTATAGACTGCTGTTATCGATTTCGATTTAATCCACGAATTTTGGTTTGCATCCTATGGGAAATAAAACTAATTGTAATACTGGAATGGATAAGAATACGAAAAAATAGAGAAATTAAGAGAATGGAATAGGTCTTTTAAGTTATTATGAACAGAGAGAAGAGATTTTGTCTTTTTTTAACCGCTCTAAAATGCAAAGTCTCCCATTTTTTAGGTTGTTCATTTGCCGAAAATGGTGAATAAATCCTGAGGAAGCATTTCAATATTTTTATGAATGGCCAAACAGGAATTACTCGATTTGTGTGGATGGGATGGGGGAATACATAGTCGAGATAGGGAAGGCATTTTCATGATTTTTTTTTTTTTTTTTTTTTGCTTACCTGCACCACCACATCAGATTCTCGATGGCTATCGTTGAGAGATGACTCGGCAATGCTAAAATCATCATCCTCCTCTTGATCCAGCATTATTGATAATTCATCGTGGGCTCTTGTATCACATCCGCGAAGACAACGCCCACATAGTTTTCCTTGTCTGCATATAAGTCATTTGATAAATAATAATTGATAATTGAAATATTTTACAAAAACAATAATTAATTTTATTATATTAATTAGTTGGACTCGGACAATTTTTTGACTTATAATTTTTTAATATAATTACCGGACTTCCTCTAATGTGTTAATTTCTTCCTGCAAATTCTTCATATCTTGTGCTTTATTCCTCCATTCATTGAGCTGTTCTTCGAGCAAAGTGTTCTCCTTCAATAGAGATTCGAGCTGCTCACGCAACTCGTTAACCTTCTTCTGTTCCCTCGCCCTCTGATTACGTGTTTCTTGCAATTGCCTTAGTAATTCAGTAACTTCTTCGTCTGAGTTTAATGGGTTAGTTGTCGAGCGAATAATACCATCCGTCAATGGTACTGGAGAGGGCTTCGATGGGCTTCTGGTAGCGCTCTGTGTCAATAAGTTTGGATGTTGTGACGATTTAATGGGAAATTTATAATATTTCAAATATTGTAAAATGTATTTTTTTTTTAAATAACCTTTTGTATGCCACCATCTTGTGATATCGTGCCCTTCCAAGTAGTTGAGGATTGTGTGTCAGTAGGCTGATTTGGATTTTGCTGTTGACGCATAAGACTCTCATGCTGGTGCTTGAAATCGTCAAATTTTTTTTGCACATCGTCAAGCTTTGCCTCAAGATTCTCAATTGTCAAACATTGACTGGAAATTCAACGTTAAATCTTATTCTCTGCCACACAATGTTCAGTATGACCATTCATTGGTTAACATTCAAATATTCAAATATAAAATAAATATGCCCTTACCTCTTGATTAATTTTTTATCGGCTGTATTTTCAATAACAAGTCTGTGATTGGCACGCTCCAAATCCTGTATACTGACTTCAAGTTGTTCATAAACTTTGAGCCTGGAGTCATTGACTTCTCTGAGGGCTGCTGTTTGTTTTTTCATGTACTATATAAATAAAACAATGGTACCAGAGATATTAATCATTGGATGGAATAAGTGGTGAAGAAAATAGTGCGAAACAGGGAAGAGACATGAAATTCTCAATGGGAAGTTGGTAATTAATTTGATTTCCTGAATGAAAGTCACGCTCTGTATCGTCAGTGTGTGTGGTTTTTTTTTTTTTTTCTTTCACATTGTAATATGCGGGGTTCAAAGTTCATTGGAAATGACAACCACGTAGCAATCGGCAAATCTGATGGAAATACGCGATGAGAGAAAATAAATGATGGCATTTCAAGATTTTTTCCAAATTTTTTACCTCAATCTCTTGTGCCTGTTCATCAATTGTTGCTTGCTGTGTCTTCAAATTTGTTTCTAATTCTTTGTTTCGGTCTAGAAGAGTTTTGCCGAGTTCAGCTGCTAATTGTAGATCTGTTAAATAAAAAAAAAAAAAAAACATATGAATTAGCGAATGAGCCAAGTGAATAAGTAGTTATCATACAATGATATTTCATAGAATGAAATTAATAAACAAAACACTTGGAATTAGCCGTGAATTAATTCTCCTCGATTTGAATGAATTCACTTGTTTTCCATTCCTGCCAATAATTTTCGTTCATCTTCCTTTTTCTCCAATTAAGGTGAAATTCACCATGATTGATCATTTTTTTTATTAGGTTTGGCAAGTAGACACAGCCAAATTTTCAAAATCATAATTTACTAATTCATTATATAACTATAATTTTATTATATCTGGTACATTATCATGCTCTATTAATGGAGCCCAATTTCAAAATATCGCAGAAAAACTCATTCGGCAAATGATAGACTTTGGGATTTGAATAAAAAAATAAAAATAAAAATAATACAAGCTAAAAGCAATCGTCATTCACTCGTCCTATAAATCAATTATTCGCCAATTACAACAATATGCACTGTTATAACGATTGAAATAATAAATTTGGCCAGATTTATTGTGAGAAGTAAAATCACAGGTGCATTTCGAGGGATTACAACTCTCTCCCTTGAGCTGTAAAGCATAAGAAGTAGAGAGTCACGGGAAAAGAATGTTCATCTCCTCCCATTCAAGGGCAAGGACCTCTAATGCACCAGAACGATTCAAAAGAATTCGAAGAAAATGTATGGAAAATTATGAAAAAGTCTTCCTGTCATTCCAGAATACATCAGATTTCATTCAATTCGATTCAAATTCCAGTGCAATCTAACTGGTGAAAATCGAAGAAAAAAAAAGAAGAAAAAAGAAAAAAAAAAGAAAAAAAAAGGTTACCATCCATTGAATTGAAACTATTTATGCAAATTATTCGTTGTTACATTTGTCTATTTTTGTTTTTCCCACAAATCAAATAACAATAAAGATTTCCACAATTTCGTCTAGTTGTTAAAATAATTGTTAGACTAATGTATTTAATGAGTTTAGACGGCGACATTTAAAAAATACCTTCTGGACCCTGAAGACACGCCAACTCGATGGAATAATCCCAACAGTCCAACGAACTCATCTGAGTCGACGGGTCCCAAACGACATCGACACTTGGACCATTCATAATTATCATGAAAATTTCGATGAGGAAAAATTGAGAGAGAAATGGAGAGACTAGTCTGTCACAGTGTTATTATTATAATTTTTAGTAAGCACAAAATATTCCAATAATTCCACAGATTATTCACTGAATAATTGGCGATATTGATGAATTTAGAAGGGGTAGATTAAAGTGACGGAATAACTGAATGGCAACCGGTTTGCTCGAGGTTCACCGGTGTTCTGTGAACTGTAAATAGCACCGACGGTGGCTGAGGTACGTATGCGGTATAGTGGATACACCGGTGGCATACAACATTCCCTCCCCCTCTACATTGGGCATTAAACAATCCCCAAAGACCCTTACCTGGACGTCTTTGCGGGGGGGCCTTTCCCAGTGTAATTCACTGTACTATTTTTTCCCCTCCAGGTGCATTTCGTGAAGAGTCGTTGATGATCGTTGGAAATATACCATCAAATGGATCATGAGAAATGGACTGCTCTTTTTCCTTTTTTCCTTGATTTTATTTTTTCATTAGAATCGATTCCATTTCAATTCATTCAATTTCTCCGGTTCTCAAAGTATTCGAAATCTTTGAATTATCTTTCAATTAAAAACCATTATCTGTTATGTAATGCTTTCTGTAATGAGAGAGAATTTGAATGAGGTTTGGCTTTTCAAAATCGAAATGTCAAAATTTTATACTGGTATTTCGTATTTTTGGGAGAAAATTTTTCAGTTGAAACATCGTGTAGAGGAAGAAAAGTAAATTTTGAATTATATAAGGTATATAATTGGCATTAAAATTTCAGTTTCAATTATGCAATCATCATTGGGGGAATCATCTTCTTATGAACACTAGAATTTCAGAGTCGGATATTTTTTATTTTTTCTGTGTCGAGGGAATAAAAATTATGGTAAAATGAAAACTTCCGTCGAGCTACTCACGCGGGGATTCATTATATACTTTCGTAATGTGCACGATAATATTACGCACACGCTATACATGTCGACATATATTCTTTCTAATTCTTCATATTTGGAATAAATTAGATGCACATTTTTTTCGACATTTTCAGCATAAAAAAATGTAAAAATATTTTGTTGGCTGATCAGTGAAAGAATATCAATATTTTATACTTTCATGAAATTGGAGAGTTTCTATTTGAGCAATCGGATTTGTGGATTAGTGGATTAAAAATAAATTTCCGAGTTATTTTGACCTCTGGCGTGCCAGGAAGATTCACTTGTATATCTTGTTGCACTTTCACCCACGAGCCTGTGTCAGAAAAGTGCACGAAGAGAGAAGACATCCGAGACTTCATTGCATTGTGACCCCAACGAGAGATTATTCAAGTTGATTCGACACGTGCCAGTCAATAGATTGACAGCGAAATTTCTTTATTATAATCAATAACCAATAACCAATAAATGAAGGGAATTTTAACATAATCCCATGCATTAAATATTCAATTTCGCTTTTTTCGATTGCCAATCGATTTTTTTCTAATTGAATCCCTCCCCATTGCATAAATTTTCAACTTATTTAGTCCTTTCGGAGGAGAAGGAAATATTTAAAAAAAAAAAAAAGAAACAAATGAGGAGAAATGAGAATAATATTGGTTGGATTTGAAAAGTAAGCCTATAAAACGATATAGGATAGAATAAGATGGTGGTGAGTGGTTGTTAGTCACGTTGAAGTAACGCGGATGCGATATCCAACTCGCTCCGTGTCCTCTCGCATGCGTGGGATAGAAAGGATTATTTATTATCCGACTAATGCCCGAGGAGTTAAAAATTAAATATGAAAAAAAAAATTTATAATCGACAAAACCGTCAAATCAATGGCAAAAAAGTTATTTATCAAGAATATTAATAAACGCTAACAATCTGTTTCACAATTGTTTTGAAAATTATCCCATTCCATATTTATCATAGCGATACTATTTTTTCTTCGATTATATGAAACTTGTGATTCTCTGTTAAATCTCAGTGGGTGAAAGATATTATATGTATTAAAATTTTTCATGTGTAACCACAGTTTCGCCGGGAAAAAGATGAATTTTCACACGGACAATTCTTAAAAATTACTTAATCATAAGTTAATTAGAGAAAAGTAACTGTGAGAAATGATTGAGGTTATTTACATCAAATGGAATACGGAAGTAATTTTTTTAATCGTTTGCAGTCTGTTGGGGTATCAGAGATAATATTATCCATATATATTTTTTCCATATATATTAATGCAGGATAAAAAAAAAACAAATAAATAATCAACAAATTCATGGAATTTTCCAAATGTTCATCATGCATTGTTATGGTACATTTGTAACGCTTGATTTTGAAATAAAAAAAAAAAAAAAGGGCAAAAAATAAAGTAGTAGCTGCACCTCAGTGAGCATCCGTGGGCGTTTCCCAGGTGCATTGTGCATTGTGGATTTGTGCGACGAGGCAGTAGTTCGCATTTATCCATTCCATTTCACCTACCTAAAATGAATCGAATACACCAACCTCAATGAAATTAATGCCGCTTTTACCATTGGGCTGAAGGTGGAATTACGATTGAATGGATTGATATGGAATTGTGAGCAATCAGAGCGAAATTTAATGGTTTCTTAATGAAAATATATTGGAATAATGCAGAACGACTGTACTTGTTCTCCTTTTAATGGGTTAAATATTTAATTCCAGTAATGAAAAACAATGACTCTAGCATTTGGTGAGACAATAATGATTAACATTCTCCTTTCCAAGAGGACAAATAATGTTCACCATTTTTTTATCAATGAAAAATAATCATTTCGCCAAATAATAGATATTTATTTTCACAATTATTCGATTTTTCTTGAATCTGCCGAAATTGTAGTGGTTATATCGGTGGTAAACTGTTTGCAATCTTTGCGTGGATTTCGGCGAGTGGAAGATATTTACAATGTTCATTAAGATTATCCATTTACAATGGGATTTTACAATATTGAACATGGGAGCAGAGAGTTGACATACACAATGACAATTCCCAGGTACTGAACACCCACCCTAAATCTAGTTTACTACCCCACTAATTATTGACCAAGAGATATTTAAAATCCATCAAAATCCGCAAAAACTCATTTCAAGTAGTTAATGGCCCTCTTGTCTTGTCTTCAGTCATTAAACTTCCAAATAACCCAAAATTATAACGCCCCTTATTTCTCCAAAATTCTATCTAAAATCCTGAATAATGTTCAAATTTCGGAGGGGGCAATGTCGAAAATAGTAATATATAGTGAAAAAAAAAAAAAACAATTTTTCGTGTTGACTGTAGATAAATATATATATAAGGTATGCGCTTGCTTCAGGTAGAATGGAAAATGTCGAGTTTTACAGTGGTGTAATGAAAAATTTCTCAAATAAAATATAGAGACATAACAGCGTTGAGCCTCTGACGACAGAAGTTTCATCCCTAAAAGTGGATTCGTTGGACGCCAAATTTAATACGTTTGAGGAGGTAAAACCTATTTTCGTTGAACACAGGCTTTCTTTAATCCTACCTCTATACCCCCCTGGAAGGTGCCGAAATCCTTCGGAAGAAAAATGTCATAAACCTTCATAACCTGTCTTCTAAGAAATATTTATACAGATGTTCTTCAATACAATTACCCGTTTATTTATGGATGGCTGATGTACAATTGTATTTGAGAATATTTTGCAAATTGCAGTAGCATATACGCCGTACCCAAACTAATAAATCATTTTAATATTTGTATGTTTCTTTTTTATGGGTGATAAATAGCACAGGAAGAAGAAATTTTACAAAATATAGTCTCCACCCACTATATTATATTATCAAGTATTATATACACTCGATACATTCGATATTGAAGCTCAATACCATTTGTGTGGAATGTGTGGAAATTGGGAATTAATGCTCTACTCAGGTATTTTTCCCCCCTACCATTGATAATCAAACTAGGAAAGTGCTCTCTCACTATCTCTCGTGCCACCAAGATTCTCCGGAAGTTCACAACCACCTCCAATAAATCCCAATCATCCCAATGAAAGGGAGTGAGAGAAAAAGCAAAAGAAAGCAAAATAATCCCAAGAATCAACCGGAAAAGAAACTTTTTAAAAATCCAATTTATGTTGTAGTCTCAAGTTGATAATTAACGAGAGACATCCAGAATATCACGAGCGTGTGCCCGTGGGAATGAAAAATTTTTCATTCCCGTGAACTCAATGAATGAAGAGGCGTGAATATTAACGAGTGAAAAAAAAAATAAAAAAAAAAAATGGAGGGCACATCTCCACATGCCTTAGGAAAGGCTTTCGCGCGTTTGATAGCAATCTCAAGATTTTCTCTCTGTCATCCATTTTTCACGTGCTATTATTTATCGTTCTTCTGATGCAATTGATACGGTATTTATTATTCCTTGACGACTCATTCTCAGAGAATAATATCCTTATTCCCTACTTGAAAAACCCATTGAAAAATTAGCATAGTTATAAAAACTGATGGAACTCGTGAAATTCCAAGGTGTATGATGGTAACAACGCGTGAATAACAATCAATAGTCGTTGTACTTGGCATGTGTTAGTTCGAAAGAGCGGTTTTTGCCGGTCTCTGAGAGGATGAATGATAAAATATGCCAACTACCTGAGAGATAGTAAAGAGGGAGGCAATTCACTTCCATGTGGACTACGGGTGAATGTATCTGTCCATGTCTCGATCGTTAACAACAAGTAGAATACCAGAGATCCCGTAACAAGAACAGGTAGGTATATTATAATTGAAGTTGGGCGATTTAATAAATATAATACTCTAGGGAGTCTAGGGGAAAAAAATACAAGTTATACTTTATCAGTATTTTAAATAACCTTTTATATTTATATATTTTAACTAGCCATAAAGTATGATGAATGAAAGCAAGAGAAAAATGATAAAGTGTGGATTTTAATTTGCAATGGGGGTCGTACACGTTCCGTTCCAGGTCACAAGGTATAAAAAATGAAGAAGTTGTATTGGTTTTGACTGTTGGGTATGCCTTGGCATGCCAGGGGCACGGCCAACACGAAGTGCTCTATCGTAAAGTGCAACCACCACCACCACTGGTCAATCTCGATGTACCGTTATGTCCAAGGCAGACGTTTATAATCAGACATTTCAAGAACGAAAATCTATTATTTTTATAAACAACGGTAAGACATAAATATAGAATAAGAGATTATGTGAGATATTTACTACTATCTATTTCAATCATCTCTTGGGAAATCGCTCAAGTCTAATCCGTTTACTGTTCCGCCTCAATTTTCATCATTATAATTGCAATTTACATTTTTCATAGCTGTAATACAAGAAGAAATTTGCACAATTTTCAAATTCAATTGATATTCCATTTTAATTGTATAATTATTTTTGCCGAGAAGATATATTTTTTTCCGAGAAATCCACAGATTTATGTACATTTGTAATATGATAAAGGGCGAGAAGAGGTTTATTATATGGGTTGAGTAAAGCCTGAAAGTAAAGACGACGGTGTTATAATACCGTTTCACTTTTTCCCGCGACCTGTTCGCCCCCACGATCCCCCAGATCTCTATTCTGCAATAATATCTGGAGATTTTTCATTATTTTTTTCTTCTCCACTTTCTTGTATTCCTTGTATGGCTTTTGTTTTCTTGTACGTCTCAGCCATTTCAGCGCACACCTATTCACTATAGACACCATTTCCGCGGGATACACAAGGCCATTGTTTTACACAAGGCACAGACCTATGTGGAGGATAATGACAATTCCATGTGGAGTATACCACAATAAGATCTCAAATATATTTTAATATTAAGTATTGTCAGCAATAACTCAAGTCATTGAGAGTATGAGCGTTTACTGGAAAAAGGCTGGGTCTTTGGCCTTTTCCCTTTCTTAATGAAAAAGCCAGTACTATCCCATTGTATGTATCGCTAGTATCGATATCGCAAATTCTACAGCGCACGTAGGCGTTTAACCATAGGCTACCACGAGGATAGGTACTATCGGCGCGTTCCTCTCTCAAAAAAAATATATAAGAGAAGAGATCAGAGGTTTGCTTAATGTGAGAATTCACCATTTTGTTCTTTCTATATTTAATGCACCATTGAATAAGGAGTTAATTGGTGTTGAAGATTATTTTCTCATTTATTATGCAGATATTCCAATGAATTGTCTGTAAGATTTACCAATAGAGAACTTTTACCAATACTTGAGACAATTATATCGAGATATATGTTACACCTGGCATAATATGCATTTCCACAAATTTCAATGTTTTTCCACTGGAATTATATTGTAATATCTATGAGTATAAGTCGTGCGACCTCGATATGCAAGCGATATATATTATTCAAACGCGACCAATTACAAGATCGTATCGTGGATTCCTCGTGCCCGTACACTTTCACACCTTTCCACAGAGTCCAATGCTACATCACCTACCCACTTACTCATATATGCATATTTAATTGATACTAAAAATCATAAAAATCCATGCTTCTTAGAAATTCCAATCTCGGATTAATTATAGCATACATCACCTAAATACACCATTTTTTTTTTATTTTTCTTTTCTTTTTTTTTAAAATTAATCTCCACCCTCTTTGGAATGCGTTTCAATTTTTTTTTTTTGCTTTTGAATTAAAATTTCGTCACTTATTCACACACTCGCCATTGAATTCGTACCAAAGTAATTTAGATACCAATGATTATTCTGATGAAATATTTTCTGAATGATTGAAAAGTCATTAATCATCCTAGAACAATCGGGAATTCAATCAGAGCTGTTGAAATCAATTGCGACGTCCTTTGGAGTTCGGTGAACTCAATCTGCACGCACACAGATAGTGATTATGATATTTATGATATATATTTAATTAATTAAAATAGAGCTTATTACATAAAAGTGTCCGAGGTATTACACTTTCTATCGAAAGTCACTCTTATCAGCATACTGGACACAATCAATTTTCTATTATTTATTAAAACAAAATGGATGGCATAAAATGTTAACGAATTGCCGATAGATAATCGATATTTGCTTTCTACTGCGATAAGTAAATATAATAAATATAAGAAGATATTTTCCCAGTATTCGGGTTGAACTTAGTATTCATGAACCCCCCGTGTATTGATTCCAAGTTAATTATCAAAGCCAATCGCGACAGAAGGATATCCAATAGCTTTTGCATTTCGTTTCAATTAAGTGGTAATTAATTAAAACCCAATCTCCCCCTCTTCCGGTGAGTCCAAGGCTCTTATTATCGGATTTATCTAACCCACAGAAAATTTCTCTCAATTTTACTCTGGAAAAATAATTTATTCCAATGCAAACGACATTTTTTGTCATACGATAGAGTAATTTATTTAATTTATTCAACTGATCTGATTAAAGGTGAAAAAAATTAAATGGAAAGGAAGTCTATCTTTGGGAAATTGAAAGTGTTATATTTAGGACTGGGAAGTGAAGTCAAATTCACTGCTGAGCGACAAATGCAAATTTCATTTGCTTCATGTTCCCAAGCCTATCAAGAATATCATTTTATGCTTCGTTGAGTTATTGAATGACATTATATTTATTTATTTTCATCTTCTTTTTAAAGAAACATCAACATCAACAGGTTTAACATTTAATTTTTACTTTTTATTATTCCTTTACTTTTGAAAATTTTGTGAAATTTCAATTGGCAAGTCATTACGGCTTAAAAGTTAAAAATTGTCAGACTAAAATAGAAATGACGGTTTGAAATTCGTCAATAAGAAGGTGCCAACTTACAATTTAAGATTCAACTCTTTGCATTATTAATTAATTATTAATTATTAATCTCGTCATTTACATTTATTATCTCTTCAATTCATTAGAATTGCCCATCTCATATGAATATTCAACGTTCAATTTATCGCCTGCAATTTATTTTTATTTATTTTAACAAAATACCTCCTTGATTCTCATCTTCGCCTAATACTTTTTTGAATCATCCAAGATAATCAATTTTATTTTATTTATCGTAGTAATAATACGAGGGATGCATAGCACTGTCTGCTATCGATCGCTAGGCTTATCCACCATTAAAAAGTACACTACAACCCCTCGGAACGTCCCATAGCAACCTATGGCCATATATTCTCCCCCAATGCTTATCCTATTTTTCGTAAACTTTTAGGTACGAAAACTTTGAAAATATTTGTCCTTTTCAACCAATTTTCTTTTTATTTAATAAATGATACACGGAGAAATTTGATAAATTTGATAAAAACTTATGTGGAATTGAAGAAAATTACTGATATTTTCATCTATACCTTTTGAAAGAAAAGTGCACGTTCAAGAAGTGCACGTTCAAAAATTTCTAAATCGAAAAAATTCATTTTCATTAAAAAAAAAAATTTACCTATCCTAGTTCACTGGATAATTTACCAATTCACTTGGTCACTGATTTGATCGACATTATTTCGACAGTAAGGTATTACCCCTTAATATGTCAATTTTTAAGACTTAATTTACAGCTCTAATTGACACTCATTATCTCCGAAATTTTTGACGCGTCAGTCATTTAAAAATCGTTTAAGCCATGCCCATAATTACCCTCTTAATGGTCACATAAGTTATTTCACGTTGGCTAACTATTACTATGAACAAAAACTCGGCATATTGTCTAACTAATGATATAAAATAGCGTCACGCTCACAAAGGTCAGCTTCTGACGATAATTAATTTAATGATTATCCTTGATGTCACAGACAACTGCATGACGTTGAACATTTATTGAGCCCCGTGCTTTTTGATTCAATGAGATTCCCATAATTCTTTAGAAAGCCATGCATCTTATCTACACCGACATGTGGGTAATACGAGGGAAATTGTCATTCCATGGGGATAATTTTTAAACTTTCAACATACCCTGCAGCATATTGTGATCAGCCTCATCATCTCCCAGTCTTCGTATGATCGATGACGAGAGTAAACTCATGATTCCACTGCTCCAATGTGACTTAAATCATCCACAAAATAATGACGATAGTAAAGAGAAAATAAAAATAAAAAAAAAAGAAAAATTTAACACCGGAAGTGAAGTGAAGGCCGTCCGGCCGTTTAGATGCCCTTGCCCCCCTAACGAATCACCGCAGCATAATCTCCATTATCTCTCCGCAAGATCAATTGCGAAAAAAAAAAGATGTTTTAACCACGATGAATGGTCTCTGGTAGAGTTCCACCTTTGGCCCAGTTGTCACGGTTCAACGAGAGAATACACAGGTGGAAGGCCGATTCTTTGATGTATAATACCTTCACGGTAAGACGGAATCGACTTTCACTCTGACTTTGCTTCTATTCTCATTTCACTTGCATATAACTCAATGGTCCCTAATAATTTCACTCAATCAATTAAATTTATATATTTGATGATTTGAATATCATCAATCAAATGTCTCAAAGTGCTTTTTAATTTTTTCTCACACATCAAGTCACACTGGAATTCACAGGGAAAGGAAAATTGAAAATTAAATGAAGGAATAAAACGATGCGGATGAGTAGAAACAGCACCACCAACTGTCCCGGCAGTTCACTTGACGCATGACAACAGACAGAACAAGTGGAGGGATATATATATATATTTTTTTTTGTTTCTTTTTTTGAGTAATCGATAAGGCTGCGGAGGCGACTGCGCGCTACGCGCTACCACTCGGCGGTTCGCACATGCGTGGAGATTAACTCCAGCAGATGGTTAAAGTTGTCATTATTTTTGTAATCTGGAAATTTTCTTGAGTAAACGACCTTGGGCATTGTTCGAGCAATTTCGAGGACGACTAGCTGAGGGTGCGCCACTGTACCATCAAGTTTTCCCTTGAGGATTTGATCATGCAATATTTAATGTGGAATTTCCATTATTCAATTTCGTTTTTCTTTTCTTTTTTTTTAAAAAGTTTTTCTTTGTTCACCGTTGACTGATTCACTTGTCTATGCAAATCAATATGATTTCGCTCCGTCCATACGATAAGTGAAAGACTGGATGAAACCCCGTGGGCAATTTGCTTTCTAATTGACGATTATTCATACCACAAGTCAATTTTTTTCATTAAAAAAAAATAATGCATTATTTATTGGCTAACTGATGTCAATAAAGCTGGTGTCTTAATGAATTGAGGGAAATTATTTTTTCTTAGGGTTCTTTATAATTATTATTAAAGACTAATTATTGAACATCATGGCTATGCGAGTTGGCCTTACGATGCCATTTGTTATTCTCAAGTGGTCGATAAGGAGATACGGATGTGGTTACGCCCAGAATCAAGAATTCTCTCCCATCATTCAAATACCATTCTAGTTTACAACAACGTAACGTGATTCTTTCCATTCGTTCGTGATAAATAGCAAAAATTGAAATATTATAATGGGAAAGGCTTCATTCTGTTAATGATTTAACTTCATTTTTTCTTCTATATATATTTTTATTTTTTTTCTTCAATTTTATTGACTAACTGCTCTTCAGGTATAGTAGATGAACGACTGTCTGATTCTGATTGTCATTATCTTTTTTGGATGGTTCATTAGTTTGATAAACCTTATGTGGATGTTTTAATAGACATTTTCAGAAGAGAAGAAATTGGAACTTGCCACTTTCACCGCAGGATGAAGGTTAGAAAGGATTTATGGGGGTTTTCGGCATGTTTTCTTTTCCTTGTTTGCAGATTTTTTTCTAACGAAGAATAAAAAATAGGCTGGATATATTGTAGAATTTATATTGATAAATATCCTTGCGAAATAGGTTGAGTGGAATAAAAAAAAAAATCAAAGCAAACCAAGATACACATATATTTTATATATTATGCAAACGGAATAAATTGAAGATTGATTTTTAAAATATATTTGTCCATTCAAATTAAATATCGATAAACTACTGATAATTTCTTTTGCGCGTGTATTTTTTTATCATATATCTTCATTCCAGACCACTAGAGTGTGATATTTTTATCGATATTCATCATTAAATTCACACGATGGACACTAATACCGTACACTCCACATTTACCTGGTATAATTGACATCTCAAGAATAAAAGAAACAAACAACCATCAAATCAATCAAGTAAATATATCGGTCAGTGAGGAAATGTATACTTGCGGTAGATACATTTTACCATAAGTTGTCGTTGAGGATGGTTGTGAATTAATAAAAGTTAGGATAAATTATTTGAATAAGAATGGAAAATCTCGGAATAAATATTCGTGACGATTGTTGGCATACGTGGGTGTAATTAGACCGAAATAATGGCACCCCAGCGATACTTTCCACCGAAAAAGGTGCACGAAGACTTGGACTTTTACCTCAATACATCATCCCATTATGGTCGCCGTACACGCAATAACGTTTTGATTCTTCTACTTTATCGAGAATATTCACTATCATAAATTAATTCCTCCTCCATTTATATAATTATCAGTGTTTTTTTTAACTTAAACAGTCAATAAAAAAGTAAATTAATTTTCTGCAACATTTTGCAATGATTCATTCATAGCCCTTAACCTGATAAAAAAATCATTGAATCTTGAATGAAGATTCAATAAAGTATTCTAAATAGAAATAGGCAAAGTAAGAATATGTACGCGGTCCATGATCATGATTACAACGTTAATTATTCCTCAAGTCTTAAGACTAAAATTTTTTAAGTAACTCCCAACAGTTGTTTTGGATCATAAATCATCACTACACGCTTCATGTACTTGGAAATTTCTTCCTTATGAACGCAATAATTTTCTCCAATGAATTTTTACGTATATTTTAACGGGACAACAACGGGATTGAAATTAATAATAATTCGTTTACCTATTGACCTGAAGTGACCGGTTAGACCAGCTATTTTCCGAAGAAAGTGTGTAAACGTCAAGGTGGTATAAACCCATGTGAAAATAAGTGTCGGCTGTTTTTTTGTCTGGAGATACTTGTGAGAAACCTTGGGATATCTTGACAAAATCCTCACGCAAATTGTATCTATTTCAAATTAATCTATGGATGATGTTTTTTTTTTTTTTTATCGAATGCGACGATGAAATATCGACGCAGGTGAACGACTTTAAACGTTTTATTATGCAATGGAGACGGTGACTTTATAGGAAAGTACATTACAAGAGCACTAGGGGCACTGTTAAAGTGAAAATATTAAATTTTTCTTCTTTTTATTCCTTCAACAATTGTTTTCGAGAAAATCTCTTTGAAAATCTCTTTGAAATTATTAGTAGGTGATTTATCAGTTTTTCAAAATTCAATCTTCAACTTCAATTTCATTTCAAGGAAATGAAAAGTTTTGAAACTTGTAAATATCATTAGCTTTGAAATTATTAGATCTGTCCTTCAAATTGGACTCAGAGTGTTACTCAATGTAATTGAATAAAAGTTCTACTTTGAGTTCATTCCCACTCACATTCGTCTCATGCACGCATTGTGGTTTAAAAGATGGTGCGAATGAACTTTATTAAGTGAAGAAAGCGTGATTGAATTCAGGTGAGACCTTTAGAAGACATTCTGTAATTAGATCATCTCCATTAGTATTTTTTTCTTTGTTGATGGACGTTAATCCGAATGAAACGTCAAGCTTCAACCATATCACCTTATCTGTGATATGACACAGCAAGTGGACAATCGTCAATCAAAATTGCGTCATTTTTGTGTAATTCCCACTTGCAAAAAAATAGTTGAAGGGATTTTTCTGGTGACTGCGACTGGTCACAGGAACTGGATAATTATTGATATGATTTTACACTACGAGGTGCACTGGAAATTTTTGACGAATAAAACATTCTTCAAATTTGTGATATCCAAAAAAATGACCTTGATATCATTATGGCAAATCCATCAAGCTCTTTCCATCAACTATTCGAGATACATACGTAAGAAAGGAAAGAATTAAAATGCCACAATATTATTATCTCTCGATGGAATGGCCGTTTCTTGAAATTGGGAACGTACGATAGCCGCAGGGGTGGCAGGAAAAAAAGTTGTTTGATGATGTTATACGGCGGGCGATTCCCCTTAGTGTTTACCAAACACTTGCCCCACTTGAGACCAACAGGCATGACTTGAATAAACAGCAAATGTGAATTTTACAACTCTACCTCATTCCCATCTCATTAGCGTTTTCAAATTGTACATTTCATCCCATTGCATAACTATACATTACTCACAAGGCGTTACAATGAAAACTGGAGTGATGACCTAGAAGGTCGTATCCACATTCCAGGCATTTGGAATACGAAATGCGAAAATACGAAATCTTTAAAAAATTACCGGCAAAAATATTCAGTGTTGAAATTTCAAATTTCAAATGAAAAATCTATCATAAAAGTATAAAATATACATATATAATAATAACAGATTCAAAGTATGCAGTTCTAGAATTAAAATGGCAAATCAAAATAATTTATCAATAATTTAACGACTAGAAATAATTTTCAGAGATTGTAAATTAGGATATGTCCTTTTGTCTTATCCCAAGTTATCAATGAAATTATTTTCTAAATGACTAGAGCTTGCAAAATTATCCCCATTTACCCATTCACTGCGGATCTGAACAATACTGTAACGAATAACTATTTTTCCACAATGAATCTCTTCACATACAGGCTCTAAAAACACAGGAATTCAGTAAAAAAAGAAATAAAAGTACTTACCGGACTCTGACCACAGCTCAGGATCTGTTGAAAGTGCTGTCCAATCGGTGTTTAAATCCTTGAAAGTCGCCATATTTCCTCAAATCACCAAAGTCGACAAAAATAATGGATTTGAAGAAATAAGTTATACGATAGATCATTGACAAATGTTCAACAACGACAGAAAATCGTAGGAAGAGTCGTTTTAAAATGTAAACATTTGAGGGCGCGAGTTGAACGGCGTTTTGGCCGGTGAGGAATACGAATGGAGACAGAAAAATAGAATGAGAGCGAAGAATTGGAGAACACATGGGTATTACACTCGATTTACCATTTTTTATCTTCCTTCATTGGACGCTCACTCTCTCTGTTCTCTCTCCGTTGTACACATCAAGTTTAACATCTTCCCCACCTTTCTCCTTGATTCTTCAACCTTTCGAGAGTAATCGTCTGTGTTCGTCATATAACTCGCTCGTATTTATTTTACTATTTAAAACCAAAGGAAAGCACTTGCCATCATTTAATCGTCAACTCGAATGTCATTTCTCTTGTTCCTATTTATATATTTCTACTCACTCTACTCTCTTTTGCGGATTAGATTTTTCTGTCTTTGATGGAGACATCAGCATTCTCACTTTCTCATGGCTTCTCAAGTTTTGTCGAGTGTTGGCAAATGAGTACAGATAAGACATGATTAAAATTCAGCTGTAGTGGGAGAGAGTGAGAAAATATCAGGACTCTTTTGAAGGTCGGGCTTGAATTTATGGAGTTTAGAGGGAAACTTGTGTTCATGTAATCGGTGGATATTGAGGTGATTATGCTTTTGTACTGGGAGACAAGAGTCTTTAGGAGAAAATTCGATATTAGTTGAGACGAGATAAATCCATTAGGGGTCATCATGACATTTCTCTTCTGACATAATAAATCCAATCAAGGTTATAGAAATATTCCTTTTTTATCATACAAAAGGTTTCCAATTACGTACCAGATATCTAATTGATTTTAATGAACTTTGTACAGTCGATTCGTTATGTTCTTTTAACTTGCAAAAAGCCAGAAGTATTGGAGAAATATTTGGCATTGGCTTCGTTTACTTTTTTCTCAGCAGCCTGGGGATTGACAATCTCCAGCCCTTGTAAAGGTGTGAATGCAACACTGGAAGCAGTACCAGACACTTGTTTCTTAACCGTTGTACTTCCACCCCATTGTTGTTGCTTCTGCAAATTTTTTTGGAGAGTTTTCGATATTCTAACTTTGGTTTTCTCGTCTATCTGGGGTAGGCGAATTCTACCAGTTCCCGCTTTTCCAATTGTGCCTCTGGTATAGCCTAAATCTTCTTGATATGCGTCGCTTTCAATCTAGAAAAAAAAAAAAAACAAACAAATGTAAAAATAAATGAGAAACAATTTCAAGATGATTTTCATCAATAAATATATGTTCGTAATTCATTTTTACTATTATATGCGGAGGTGATTTCCATATCTATTGTTTTCATAGATTAAAACGGAAATTATGCAATATATTATGTATATCTGCTGTTCGTCTTTTAAAGTTTCTCTGAAGAAATAATTAAAATAGTAATAAAGAAAATTGGGACTACTTACATCAGCAAAATTCATTCTATTCGCATGTTTTCTGAATTCAGTTATGGCATATCTCTCCTTCATTTTACGAACTCTCTTACCACCCCTCTTCTTCCTACCGGGATCAATTGGTTTGGGTAAAGGCTTGATAAATTTCACTGGCGGTGGTTCTTGAAGTTTATCCAATTTCTTTTCTATTTCCTCGCGCAGGGATCGACCAATTTGAGCATCAGTGCTCTCATGGCAAGCATCCACTCGTGCTGCTAGTACGCTTTTTGCAGCCACTAGTCTGGCTGCTTTTCTCCGTAAATCCTGACCAAAGTCGAAGGAACACTAATTAATATCATCTTCAAATATTCATAATAATCGCAGAAGCAATCAAAAACAAAAATTTTAATAAAAATTTTGAATTTTTCCATGAACATGCCACAATAACTAGCACGACGGACTAATAAAGAAATTAAAAAAAAAAAAAAAAACCCACCGGTGGTGTATCCTGCACAATATCCGAATAATAAATGAATCCAGTGTGAGGTAAAGCAGCAGTCTGTGAGAAACCGGTAAGCGTGGTTTTGTGACTTCCCAGGACGAGAACATTACAAGCAGGCATTTTGGATAACTTGGAAAGTCCCCCAGCGACTCCCATAATTTTTGCAGCCGTAGAAGCCCCAATGATCACCGAAAGATTTGGTGCAATAAATGCCATTCTGCTCTCCACGTACTCAAAAATTCTCAATTTACAATTATTCAATTCCACGGCCATGTCGCAAGCCTCACAAATAGCGTTCTTCTCATCATCACTCAACAGTTGTCCCTGAGTTGTTGATGCTGTGACAGATACGACCATAATTGTAGCTTGGGTGAGGAATTTCTGAAGAATTTCGTTGTTCTTAGCTCGATCCAAGTCATTTCCCAATTCTCTAACTGTCATTACATAGTCCAAGGGCCCGACAACCAAAGATTCCAATTCAGGAAACCTTTTCGAATATTTGTCCCTCACGAAACGGTGGACTGTTGTTATCTCGTCGTCTATTCCCACTGCCATGTTATTTGCTTCAACGATCAATTGATACTCGGCGTCTGATTCCACTGGGCCTATTATGTCCTTTGAATTTCTCGCGACTTTGGAATATCTTTCGATGTTTGACATGATTTTTTGAAGCTCTGGGGAATCACGGAGTTTCGCTAACTCTCGAATCGATGTAACTTTAATGTCTAAAAAATGTTTAAAATTATATCAGAATAGAATAAAATTTGTTAAATCAACGAAATTCTAACCTTGTTCCATGGGTTGAATGATACTTGGTGGAATAAATTCGGCCTCCGGTTCTTCCATAAAATCCTCAGCATCATCATTCTCCTCTAAGTCGGCCAACAATTCATCGGCTAACGACATCTTTACTGGATTATATTATTAGGTGAATATTCAACAATAATTAGCAGATAACAATTGGAGTTGTAAACCCCTTTTATACGCTTGTTCAAATACAAAAATACAATATTGAGTGACCCCAGCGGCATCGTAGTACTGCACCCCAAGAGAGGGAGGGCGCAACACGCAATGCTGGGGTGTTTTTTTTTTATTAACCAAGTTTTTATTGCAATGCTGGGGTGTCAAACGAGTCGACGGGGTGAATTTTATTTTCTGCTGTACGAATGCTTTTTGTTTTTCATTTGTTTAACTGAAATTTAGCCGACTGTAGCACGTACGGAAGGGGGAAACCACATCTTGTGGAATTTCAATGGAAAAAATTATTTAATGTATTGAATATATACCACTAATGAATTTAGATTTTTAAATGAGCGCGTTGTCCTAGTGGTAACGTGCTCGACTGGCACGCCGGCGGCCCGGGTTCAATCCCGGCATCATTCATTTTTTTTTTTTCAAAATAATTCCAATTTTTTTTTTTGTTAATGGCAAATCAATCGAAATATCGTTTAAAAACTGAATATTTGAAAATCAAGAAGATATCCAGTGAAATTGAAAAATTAGCAATTTTGTAAAACGTTACTTTTGCAATATATATACTCCTAATGAAATTAAATTATTATAATAATGCGTTATCCTAGCGGTAACGTGCTCGGCTAGCACGCCGACGGCCCGGGTTCGATCCCGCCGTTATTCATTTTTTTTTTTAAATAATTCCAATTTTTTCTTTAAGTAGGTATTCACTGCAATTGAAAAATTCGAAAAAATTTTGAAAAAGTATCAGGGGAACATGACAATCGAGGAGCTATTCACTGAAATTTTCACTGAAAGTGAAAAATTCGAAATTTTTCTAAAAGTATCAGGGGAACATGACAATCGAGGAGCT